CTGTCTTTCCCCCAAGCAAGGCAAATGTCTATGAGGAAAAATGTTCTCCGCTGTGGGAGGGAATGACTCAGCCCAGGAAACTTGGGGTGTCTGCCTTCTGAGCTCTATCCCCCGAATCCCCAGTACTGGGTTCTGCTCTCACAGCTCCAGTCCACTTCACCATCCTCTGCCAGAGCACAAGGTGGGTGGCTCCACAGGGAATTTTTGTGCATTGGCCCTTCAAGAGGGTGCCCGAACTTTGAGCTGCCACTCCCTGGCAGACAGCACCCCACTGCTTTTCACAGCTAGATGCTATGTGCTCAGTTTGGTGCTCTGCTGTGGAGCCCAGCTTCGGAATTGGATCCCAGAGTTCTCAGTGGCATCCCACCACAGCTGAGATATCTCTCCTGGACTTCAGTTGCTGTCTGTGGGTGCCAGGCCAGCTTTTTCGCACCTTTGCCCCTCCTACTGGTCTATATGTGGTCTCTATCTTCGGTTCTTGGGTATCAGGGTTTTCTCCTGTGAGTTTTCTGTTTATTATTCAGGAAGCCTTTCCTTATTTCAGTTGTAATTCCAGCTTGCTCCTGGGAGCATGTCCATGCAGCCTGGTTTTATTGTTTTTGAGTTGTTTAAATATTTTGTATGTTAACCCTTCAACAGATCTGTTGTTTGCAAATATTTGTTCCCATTCCATACAGCTGGGATAGGTTGCCTTTTCATTTTATTGATGGTTTCCTTTGCCAAGCAGAATCCTTTTTATGTTATGAATGATTTGCACTTTAGCTTCTGCAGAGTGCTTTTTGGTTCTCTTGAGCCCCCACTGACCCTGCCAGGAACTGGCACCTGGGAGGTGCTCACTGACTATTTATTGGACTAGATCAATGGATGGATGAATCCAGAGGCAGTTGGCTCTGGAGCTAGACTTCCTAAGTTCTAATCCCAGTGCTGTCACTTATTTTCTGTGTGATCTTAAGAACATTACTTCACCCCCCCTGTGCCTCAGTTTCCACTTATGCAAAATGGTAATAAAAAGAGTCCTTCCCACATAAGGTTGATATATGGGTTAAATGAACTACAGTTGACCCTTGAACAACAGAGGGTTTTCAGGCCCGACCCCCCAGTTGAAAATCCATGTATAACTTTTGACCCCTCAAAAGCTTCAGTCATCCCTTGGTATCCACGGGGGATTGGTTCCAGCACCCCCTACAGAAACCAAGCTCCATGAGTGTTCAAGTGCTGTATAAATGGTACAGAACAATATATACAGCTGGTCCTCAGCATCTGCAGATTCCCAGCCATAGCTGGCAGATCTGTGGATGTGAAACCTGGGGAAAGGGAGAGCTGATTGTATATTTATTGGGAAAAATCCGCATATAAGTGGACCTGTGCAATTTAAACCTGTGTTGTGCAAGGGTTAGCTGTAATTCATTTACACACAGGACCTGGCACAGTGTGAGAACATGATAAATGTTAGCTCTTCTCCCTCCTAAAGGTAGAGAGCTCAGGGACAGGAACATTTAAGAGGCTGTGCGGGATTGGCAGGGAAGGTGGCGGTCCCAGGAGTGTGTGGCACAGATACCCAGGGAAGCAGGCAGACATTGCTGGGGGAGGAATTGGCTGACTGTGGCAAATGCTG